AACCAGGACTAAAACAGGACTAAACCAGGACTAAAACAGGACTGAAACCAGGACTAAAACAGGACTGAACCAGGACTAAAACAGGACTGAACCAGGACTAAAACAGGACTGAACCAGGACTAAAACAGACTGAACCAGGACTAAAACAGACTGAACCAGGACTAAAACAGGACTGAACCAGGACTAAAACAGGACTAAAACAGGACTAAACCAGGACTAAAACAGGACTGAACCAGGACTAAAACAGGACTGAACCAGGACTAAAACAGGACTGAAACAGGACTAAACCAGGACTAAAACAGGACTAAACCAGGACTAAAACAGGACTGAACCAGGACTAAAACAGGACTGACCAGGAAAACAGGACTGAACCAGGACTAAACAGGACTGAACCAGGACTAAAACAGGACTGAACCAGGACTAAAACAGGACTGAAACAGGACTAAAACAGGCCTAAACCAGGACTAAAACAGGACTGAACCAGGACTAAAACAGGACTAAAACAGGACTAAAACAGGACTGAACCAGATCTGGGACTGAGACCAGGACTTAGACTGGGACCAGACAGAACAAAGGTTAAAGGGAATCATTTCAGGGCTGTATTTATGCAAATGATTCTATTACATCACAAGGTGGAACAGAGTGTTTTCAGTTTCCCAGAAAAACTCCGCCTAAATCTGCAGGTTTGTGTGTTAAAACATGTGTGAATGAAACAAAACACAACCCCAGGTCTGTTTGTGATGAGGAAATATTATAACATGGATCAGAAAATAGCGTAATATGAGCCCAAAGACACAACGGCGGTATTTATTTGAGGGAGCTGGAATCGTGCCGCCAACCTGACCGCTCCTCTTTCATTTTCAACATTAATACTTTATTCATGTTACCGTGTGGGCTTATATCTGTGTAAGCATCGATACCTGCTCAAATGAGTTTCGATACTAGTTTTAGTATCTGATTTTCAATACTTTTGACAACCCTAAAGCCAAATAATATAGACCAAAAAATAACAAAATCAGTCCTTATTAAAAACCTGCTCGGAAACCACCAAACCGTGTCTTTATTTTATGATGTTACTAATCCTTTTCCACGCAGAGAAGCAACCTGATTGAACAGAATTAGCTTTATAAACACCTCATCTCTTTTATTTCTTTAAGTGTAAACCCCGCCCACAGATGAGAAAGGCCAACAGGAAACGGCTTCTGTCCTCGTCACTCACACACGATCGATTCATCTTGGATCTTTGTTGTGAAATTTATCACTGCAAATTTAAACTCTGAAATCTGAATTTGAGGGCTTGGAAATGTATGTGTGTGATTTTTTTTTTTAACTGAAAGATACTGAAAAAGCATACTTAAAATTTCAGGAACTAAAATTTAAAAAAATCCAGCGGTATTTAAAATTCTAAATCTAATGGAACAAACTTTCTTATATGATATTACTAATCTTTTTCCATTTACAGGGTTCACTGAAAAAAATTCAAAAAAATTCCCTGACTTTTTCATGACCTAAAGTGAATTTTCTATGACTTTACGGCTTTGAGCTCTAGAGCTAAATATGAAATGTTAACCCTTTCCACTCACCTTATGGTTTGGTTTTATAGTTTTTTAACATTCAAAATCCTGTCAGTGCATTTATTGTCGTCTCTTTTCAACAAAAGGTGCAGACGTTCAGAAATAATCAAAATAGCCTAATGATAACTTAATATAACACTGTATTTGCTTGAAAGAGATACTAAAATTCCATGACTTTTCCAAAACTTTCATGGAATTTACCAGTTTCCATGACTTTTCTAGGATTTCCATGATTGTGGATTTATTATTCCATTTATTTACCGTATTTTCCGGGCTATTAGGCGCTCTGGATTATAAGTCATTAAATGGTCTATTTTCAAACTTTTTTCACAATTAAACTGCACTGGACTTTAAATGAAACACAACAGTGTGATGGGTGAGTGGTTTTGTTTGTTTGTTCGTTCACGGTGACTCTGGGCTTTGTTCAGTTGTGGCGTGTAGGGAGGTGCTGTCTGGGACCAACTGGATTGTCGGCGTGTTCGCAGTGACTCGGTTGTTCAGTCGTGTCTAGAAGTGGCACGTTGCGCTCGTTTTTTTCGGTTCGTTCCTCCGTTCCGTTCCTCGTCGGCGTGGAGTGATGAGTGTGTCTGTGGGTGTGGGTGGTGCGGCTTGGTAGTTTACTGAAGTCGTGCTGGGACACCCGAGTGGATTCGTGTATAGGCGAGTTTAATTGTTGACAAAAGCGCGCGTTGCATGCTGGGAATTATTTTGGTCGGCGGCAAGAAACACTAATTCAACATGACGGACGGAGCGAGAAAGCACGTAAAGGGTATTGATCCCGGTTATTTATCCACTCTAACGGCAGAGGACCCAAGACCATTTGACCAGAAATTGGTCATAAGCATCGATGGAGCCAAATCACCCTTTTCAACCCCGACAAAACCTGGACCAAACCAAATTTCTGGTCAGAATCGCCAACTACCTGGACAAATATTCACTTGGGCGATATCCACAATGACTTGGTGGAAACTCCTGGGCCATTCACAGCAGAAAAGATGAAAACCTCCAAGAGTCTCGATGTGTTGTTGAACTTGTTGGAGTCCACGGTTTGTTAGGATCTTCTACGTTTGCTCTGCGGATGTTTGAAAGCCGTTTAATTCACCGTTAGCGGTTCTTTTCACTCAGAATACGAAAAAGACATTTTCCTTCTTCCGTGCTTCTATTTGTGCATCCGATAATGCAGCAGGAATTTACCATTATCGGGGAGAAATACGCGAGGTTACGCACTGTGTTTGACGCTACCGTGTTTCTTGCCTCTGAACAAAATATTTCCCAGCATGCAACGCGGGACGTCAGCTGAAACTCGCCTATAGAGCACTCTGGATTGTGGGGCGCACAGTCGTTTTTTGATGGGGTTGGAGGTTTAAGAGCGCGCCCTATAGTCCGTAAATACGATATGTCAATCCACTAATGTTTACGTCAAGAGCGGGAATAGAACCACTCACTTTCGGATCAGAGAATGAGCTCTCAAAAATCCTCGCAGCCTTTGTGATTTTCTAATTGCGATTTCGATTACGATTAATCTTGCAGCCCTATTATGAACGTTCCACATCCATCCATTCTCTCAGACAAACAGCACTTTTTTTTTTTAACCGTTCTATAATTGTGTTTTTCTTCTCTCTTGCCTCTCTCTTTGCCTCCTTCTGATCAATTATCCAGTCTGGCTGCACATTGACTAAACCTCTCCTACATCCACTATAGCGGCAACGCGGCGACTATTAACTACGACATGCACCTTTATAATGAGGACTCAAAAAATCACTCCAAAGCACTGTTTCAAAGCCGCAACAGTGCACCGCTTTTACTCCCCTGACATCATCTGCTGTCTGCGTTTCCTGTTTTAGCATAAGCATGAAAAGTGATCTGATTTGTATACATATCCCCATTTAAATAGGAGAGAAGATTAGAGGAAGCATCAATCTTGGCGAGGCTCTGGGGAACGCCTGCAAAAAGGTTACTAAATTTATCACGCTGCCTCCTGGTTGCCTGAGATTTGAATATGGGGGAGACGGGGGAGTCCGGATGACCGTCCTACGTGGCAAACCGCGCCATGCCCAATGCACAGAGAACATTAATTACGCTGGATGCGCCGCTATCACTGCTCGCCTTGGCATGTCGGCGGCGCAGGCACACACGCATATACATATAAAGTTATACAGAGGAAGGAAGGAAGGAAGGAGTGTGAAGCAAAGTGCGGCTAGAAGATACAGCGGTTATTTTAATCTCATTTATTAAAGCCGCACCGTGAAACTTTCTACGCAAAGAAACAGACAAAACTGCACTGGAAAATATCGAAAAACATGCGCCTTTATTCAGAGCGGGTTTGCATTTCCACAAACCTGACTCTTATTTAGCCTAGAGAGGGACCTTCTCCATGAAAATGTTTAATTGTTTTTAATTTTCAACAATAGGGCTTTAAACATACGAATCTATCTCCATGGAGAATCCCCCCAGTGTATGACTTTAAAGTTCTTTCCATGTTGGGCTCTCGCAATAACCGCAAAAATGAATTACCGCGGTACTAAGAGGCCCACCGCAGTGGATGTTGGGCCACCACGATCACCGCACATGATCAACGTGATCCGACCCAGCCCGGACCCGTTAACATTCCTAACCCAGTTAACAGGACTCACCCAGGACTAACCCAGGACTAACCCAGGACTAACCCAGGACTAACCCAGGACAAACTCTGGACTAAGATGCGCGTGTAGACCGTTTGGTGATCATGTGAAAGGATCTCTGTAGAGCTCCACGCCGCACGGAGGTAAGTGCGGCCGTCACCCAATCACGCGTTGCGGACACCTGCTCTGCGTGCTCGTGTTCAGGGTTCTCTCTCTCTTAAGTCCGTGGGTACCCGACCCGGTCCAGGACTCTGACCCGAGCTGCCACAGTGAGAGCTGGAGAGATGCAGCGACACTTGTTCCACTTCTCCCACACTACACACACTATATCCACAAAACAACCAAAGTACATCTGCACAACAAGCGCATCATCAGAGAGTTTTCAGAGCCACTGGAAATATTATAACTCCAGGAGATGTGGGGTGGAGGAGGGGGTGTGATATCACCGCATACCGCGCTGTTGAGCCGCTATACCGCACCGCAGGAGAAATTCCCTAACCACGACAGCCATATTCCCATGGAATCATATCAGGAGTCTTGTCACCTCCACAAAGTCGCATGGTGTTGCTTTAAAAACAAATAAATCTGATTTGATTTCATGAACATAAAAATAAAATGAGTGACATTTAACTGCGCTTGACACGCGTCTATCACTTTAATGTAAAAGGTGTGTGGCCTTTTGTGTGTGTGTGGTCTGAAAAGAGCGTGAAACGATGGATCGTGCCTCCAGTCTCCCCTGTGTCAGACTTCACCTGTTCCAGAGCAGGTGCCGGCGACAGGGACAGGGGCAGGGAGCAGATCTTACCTGTTTTTCACACTGGCCGTAGTCCGGGCCCTGGTCTGGCTGGAAAACGCAGATATCTCCATTATTCTTGGCCATTTCAATGAGCGCCATGGCCGTCCTCACGGTGGCGTTACGAGCGTGGACAAACACCATCACCTGAAACAGAGCGAAAACGGTAAACATGATGCATTATGTTAGTTAGAAATTTAAGTTAATGTGACACGCTTTGTGTGGTTGTATTTTATTGTACAACCACAAAAAGTTGTTGTTGTTGAACTTACACAAAAAAATCAACACTTCATCCAGTTAATTTGGACTCTTTTCACTTTTCCAAAAGGGAAATCCAAGAATGCTGAATCTAATCACGTACATTAATGGTAAAATCCATCATAACAAAAAGACTCTGCTGATTTCTATCTCTCATTTCTAACACTACAGGCCTCAGAATGTGTTGCAGACCTCGGCTTCAGCTCTGTCCAGTTTTTCCCGTCTCCCTGAGTCCTAGAAGTGCTTTGACATATTCATTTCACCTGGGAGGATCTGATGGATGAATTTTCTTTATGAATTTCCCGGCAGTCTCCTTTTGGGGAAGCTGCAGCCAGGGAGAAGTTTAATAAGGCGCGTATGCCGTACAATGCCTCCAGAGCGCTCTGTGGTGCTGATAAAACCACCTTCAATAAATAACAGAAGCTGCAGCGGTCTTTCCTCCGACCACGAACACACAGATGTTTGCTCCACACATACGGACGCCTTTAATCCTATATTTCAATACCTCCAAGAGCAACGAAAACCGCAACATCAAAACAACCGCTGCCCACCGCGGCTGTTCATTTGCAACATGATGGAACAGGCTGTGCTCACGTGATATTACAACACGCTAGATTGTCCATAGTTTCAACTGGAGCTGGAGGCCAAGGTGTTACGGTGGGGTTTTCTGTTTAACTGTCAAAATGCACATTTAGTCCCGGTTCATATCTCTGTAATTACTGGGCCCATCCACGTGAAACTAAAACGGGCACAAAGTTCAATGTCTCCTCTGCCAGTATAAATAAACTAGAGTGAAATGATTTTCTTTCAATAGCTTCAGAAATTGGTGCAATCTTTCAACCCCCAAAGACATTATTCACGTCAGATGAAAGGACTTTAAACCATAAGATTAATATGACAATTTTGTGGAGCCAATATTGGTAAAAAAAATCTTGGGTAAATGCTGTTTTCTTTGTGCTACAAAATCCCTACAGAGTTTTAAAAAATTTGATAAAATAAAATAATAATAATAAAAAAAATAATATATATAATAATAAAATAATAATAATAATAATAATAATAATAATAAATAATAATACAATTTAATTCACATATCTTCTAAGGTAAAAAATAAATAAATCTGGGCACCAAACTAATGTCGAATAAACTAAACTAAATTAAACTGTATTCAATATTTTACCAATTGAAAACATGTCCTCATTTCCGAATGCTCAGAGAAGCAGTGTTGAGAAAGTTACTTTTAAAATGTATTCCCCTACAGATTACAGATTACATACACCAAAAGTAGTTTGTAAAAAAGTAGTTTGTAATGGAATCCATTAAGTTACTTAAAGTGAGTAACATAATTTGATTACTTTGGATTACTTGGTTTGCTGTAGAGAAGCAAAGACGAGGAAATCGTAACATAAGATGTTTTGTTTGCTAAAAGAAAATAAAAAGTCCAGACTTTACTGAACCGTATTAAAAATATTATTGATAGAAGACGAGGATACACATCCACGCAGCAGGATTTAGTCCTGTTAAATCCTGTTTTAGTCCTGGTTAAGTCCTGGTTCACCTGGTTTAGTCCTAGACCTGGTTTAGTCCTGGTTTAGACCTGGTTTTTAGACCTGGTTTAGACCTGGTTTAGACCTGGTTTAGACCTGGTTTTAGTCCTGGTTTAGACCTGGTTTAGACCTTTTGAAACTATACTTTATAAACTACACCTTTGTTTCAAACGAGTTGGAGCTCCCTCTGCCATGTGCTCAAAGTGAACACAGTTTGAGCGTGGAATGAGTCTTGCGTTTGATCTGTGATGAAACTAAACAGGCAAAACAGTATGTATTATTGTAAACAGACCCACAGAGAGAAAGTTCAGTGCAGAGCTCTGAGGTTCTTCTTAGGCAGGCACAAAAAGGCACCTAAACTTGCACTTGTATGGAGATTTGGGCTGGGAACCACGTGAAGGGAGACACATTTGTGATATGGTGAGATTATGGAACAGGTTGTTTAATATACCAGACATAAGGAGTCTGTTACATAAATCATCCTGGAGTAGAGAGATTGAGAAAATTTTTGAGAATACAGATGTTCAGTTTATTTATAGAAATACAGGGTTTGACTACCTCAAATTTAAGACTTTTTAAAGAGCTTTTTAAGACCACTTTAATGAAAATTAAGCTCAACATCACACCTGCACTTCCTCATGATCCATCCAGCATCTTCCTCCACTCTACTGATTGTTTACTCTTTGCAGTCGGCGCCAGAAACCCAAGTATTGTTTACTCCAAATTAGATGTTCATCCACGTTACATGATTTCACATTGTTGTTGTTTTTTTCCTCCATTTAACATTACACTGCAGCCTGGTTGAGTTTACAAAAAAAAAATAGACTAATGAACTTTAACCTGTTACCACCCACCTCATTTTGCGTGTGCACAATAGCACTACATACCCCAATGCCATAGCTTATTAAAAGAAAACCTTAGAACCCACATGCTTGTGTGAGGCACCATTTTAAAGCTTAGGCCTTCTAGTTTCTGTAGATATGTACATGAAGACTGTGAGTGCTGCCTAACCTACAGTACAGTCAATTAAAATTGAAAAAAAAATTGTATTTTTTTTGCTTCGAAAAAAAAAAAAGAAAAAAAATAAAGGCCTTAGCTTGGTCATACTTCATGCTAGGCATTTGTGACTCACTACACTCATTGTTCAAGTTGTTGGCAACAACTGTGTAGAATTTCAGATCTCTAGGACAAAGGGTTTTGATGCTGTGAGCCTTTGTGTAAACAAAATGACAATTCGGCACAAGATTGCCAAATTTGTGCCAAAATAATAATAATAATATAATAATAATAATTGTTATTATTATAATACTAATTCTTCTGAGCTTTAGGCATGTTTTCTCAAGAAAAAAAACTAAAAGTAGCCAAAATTGTCTTCCAAGTGGAAGATCTGCCTTCTATAGCACCGCCCGCACTGCTCCCTGTCTCCCTCGCTCTTACGCTTATAAACACAGGGTCTGTTTCAAATACTATCTGAATGTCCCACCCACCGTTTGAAAGCTCTGGTGATAGGCTAAAACAATATGTCAATCACTTTCTGGAAGATCCAATGACTGAAGAGATTTCCCGTAAACAAACTGATGACGCGTGCGTAAAGCCAGGAAGTACGTGAGTGCGTTAGCTTCTTCAGCGGCTTGTCCCACCTAAACCCCGCCACCGACAACAGCGGGGAGGGTCTCATTTTGAAGCTAAGAGTGTGAGGAAAACAAGCGCACCCAATAGTGCTAACAAACCTGCTAGAAACGCAGTGGAGGGAGGGAGAGAAGAGAAACTTTTTTTCATATCATTGTATCCATCGATTCATACGGACGAGGGTTTTTTGGATTATTTCCCCACATGGAATTATTTTATGGAAAAAAACAACTTGATATTCTTTTTCTGTGGATTATTACGGACTTATTGAGTACAACTTTTCATGGATTGAACGCGTTTTGGACCGACAGAACCGGCTCAAAGGTAAGAAACGTGTATTTTATTCTTTGATTATGATGTGAATTTTTAAGTTATAGCGTTTTGGGCTCGTTGTACGGCATAAAATGAATGATATGGTTGTTTTATTGAGAAATTAAGCTTTCAAACGATGTATGGCATGCCAGTAGTGAAAACAATAATGAAGGTGAAAATACAGAGTGAAATTTTTTTGGGGGAAAATCGCCCGCCGGCGGGCGGGTGGATGGTAAGTGGTTTTAAGAGCTTTGTGAAAAAAATAAGGACAACAAAATTTAAAACTTTTTAAGACCTTAATTTAGGAACATGAAATTTAAGACCTTTTTAAGATCATTAAGACCCCGCGGCTGCCCTGAAATAAGTTCATCTGTAGAGTCAGACAAAGTAGGAAAATTTACTTTGACAATTATAAACAGAAGTGGCACAAGGAAATTGTCACGTGAACCAAAATTAAGAACATATATTTTAATTAAATGTTTTGATCCTGAGGCTTATGTCACTCTGAACTTGAGCAGAGGTCTGAGGTCAGTATGTGCCCGGCTGAGGTGTGGGACTCTGATTCTGGCTCTGGAGACGGGACACTTCCTCTCAGTCCCAGAGGAGGAGCAGCTCATGTGCTCTGTGCGATTTAAAGGACATTGAAAATGAAATGCATTTTCTGTTTTACTGTCCTTTGTATCATGACCTGTCCTGTCAGTTGTTGTCTAATGTCTCTTACTGTTGGTTTGCTGTGTCTGATGAGGAGAGACTGGAGTATTTGTTTAAATGTAATGTTTTCAAGTCGGCTCAGTTTGTGTTAAAAGCCTGGGTTTTGTGTCTTATAAGCCCATGTGAGTTGGGCACCAAACTAATGTCGAATAAACTAAACTAAATTAAACTGTATTCAATATTTTACCAATTGAAAACATGTCCTCATTTCCGAATGCTCAGAGAAGCAGTGTTGAGAAAGTTACTTTTAAAATGTATTCCCCTACAGATTACAGATTACATACACCAAAAAGTAGTTTGTAACGGAATCCATTAAGTTACTTAAAGTGAGTAACATAATCTGAATACTTTGGATTACTTGATTTGCTGTAGAGAAGCAAAGACGAGGAAATCTTCACATAAGATGTTTTGTTTGCTAAAAGAAAATAAAAAGCCCAGACTTTACTGAACCGTATTAAAAATATTATTGATAGAAGACGAGGAGACACGTCCACGCAGCATCGTTTAGTGCTGTTAAATCCTGTTTTAGTCCTGGTTAAGTCCTGGTTCATTGCTGGTTTAGTCCTGGTTTAGACCTGGTTTTAGACCTGGTTTCAGACCTGGTTTCAGACCTGGTTTAGACCTGGTTTTAAACCTGTTTTTAGACCTGGTTTAGACCTGGTTTTAGACCTGGTTTCAGACCTGGTTTAGACCTGGTTTAGACCTGTTTTTAGACCTGTTTTTAGACCTGGTTTAGACCTGGTTTAAGACCTGTTTTTAGACCTGGTTTAGACCTGGTTTTAGTCCTGGTTTAGACCTGGTTTAGACCTGGTTTTAGTCCTGGTTTAGACCTGGTTTAGACCTGGTTTTAGACCTGGTTTAGACCTGGTTTAGAGCTGGTTTAGATCTGGTTTGAATCTAGTTTAGACCTGGTTTTAGACCTGGTTTAGACCTGGTTTAGACCTGGTTTAGACCTGGTTTAGACCTGGTTTAGATCTGGTTTGAATCTAGTTTAGACCTGGTTTTAGTCCTGGTTTAGACCTGGTTTAGACCTGGTTTTAGACCTGTTTTTAGACCTGGTTTAGACCTGGTTTAGACCTGGTTTTAGTCCTGGTTTAGACCTGGTTTAGACCTGGTTTTAGTCCTGGTTTAGTCCTGGTTTAGTCCTGGTTTAGACCTGGTTTAGACCTGGTTTAGATCTGGTTTAAATCTTGTTTAGACCTGGTTTTAGTCCTGGTTTTAGACCTGGTTTTAGACCTGGTTTAAGACCTGGTTTAGACCTGGTTTTAATCCTGGTTTAGACCTGGTTTAGTTTCTGGCAATGATTGGAATTACCGAAGAAAAGAACAAAAAACAAAAGAAAAGGGGGATATAGCCCAAAATGTGAAAACAGGAAAATCCCTCTGTGTAATCCATTTATTTCAACAAAGTAACTGTAATCCAATTACACTGAAACAGTAACTGTAACCGAATACAGTTACTCCTAATTTGTACTCTGATTACGTGTAACATGTAATCTGTTACTCCCCAACACTGCAGAGAAACAAATGGAGTAATGAAACAAGCAGGAATTAGGCAAAAATATAACTCCATGTCTGTATTTGATGACTTCTACCATGGTTAAAATCTTTAAAAAGGTCATTTTGCTGAACATGTCTCCTTCAAGGCTTCTCTTTTACACAATGCTGTACACGATAGCGCTCACGTGGTAAGATAATGCTCGCAGGATCACAACAGCTCTCAGCGGGAAGCAGATGGGAGCTAAACGCTAAACTCCAGATCCACAGTTCCTTTTCCCGGCGGACATTTTGGAGGCTGACGGAGCAGGAGAAACGCCAAGTGGAAGAGCGAAACTGATAAGGACTTTAGAGACTTCCACGTAGCACACATTCAACACGAAATCTGCACCAAATATTTTCTATTCATGAAAAAGTTCTGAGGAATGTTTTCAAAAGGGAATTCAACTTCACACTTCCTCCTCAATAACTTTCCCACATTTTTTAGAGATAACATGGTAATATGGACATGGGTTTGGTCTTGATGAAAGAATATGTTTTTGATTAGACTTTCTACAATTTAAAAATACACATTACTGGTTTAGTTGGTAAATTGTCCCCAAAAAACAACAAAAAAATAGATATACAAGTATATTCATGTTTATAGATTGAGACGCAAGTAGTTTTCATTCCACATAAACATACTGTATCTACCGTATTTTTTGGATTATAAGGCGCACTTTTTTTCATGGTTTGGGTGTTTCCTGCGACCGGTGCGACTTAGATATTAAAATTTTCACACTGACAGCCTCGAGAGGGCGCTCTATTCTTGTGTGTCAGTATCTAGTACGACTATTACTCCTGTACCACTGTCACTTCACCCTCTACTGCGCATGTGTCCTGCAGAAAGAGCCACTGTCTTGCTGCAAGTCGTGAAATATTCAGCCGAAAACGGTAATCCAGCAGCAGAAAGAAAGTTTGGAGTGAGTGAGAAACTTGTGAGGGACTGGGTTTAGTTTAATTTCAAACATTACTTTTATCAACACAGACATTTACATGGACAGTCTGGTGTAATAACAGATTTGCCTTGTTTTAGTATTGATTTATATCTGATTTTCGATACTTTTACCACCCTAACCCTATGTAATTACCGTATTTTTCAGACTATACATTCTACTTATACTCCAGTGCAACTCATATATTAAAATCTTCACACTGACAGCCGCGAGAGGGCGCATGTCTCCTGTGAGGGACTGGCGGAAAGCAGGGATGGAGAACACAGCTTCACGGCAACCGAGAGGATGAACCATGAAACTTTCCTGGAAGTCACTGGATGGACAAAGCCTGGACTTCAGTGACACTGAAACCATCCTGTCGGGATTCAGAAAGACTCGAATAATTCTAACTGGAACTGATGCTGAGTCTGACGACAGACACACAGAAGAGGAAGTGAAGCTCTGTTTACCTCTGGAGGTCGCGGAGTTGCTCAGAAGTGACACCGAGGATGAAGAATTGAATGGATTTAGTGATTTGGAGTAGGGATGGGCATGATTAATCGATTAATCGATAATTGATCATTAAGAATTTCATCGATTACGTTCATTTTAATCGACAAACCGAATGTAGGTTGCTGTGCGTAGCGTGACCACACAGGGGTCTGTACATGTACTTCTCTGCACTCAGAAGGAGCGAGTCACAAACATTCGGTCAGTCTGCAACGCAAATGCGTATTTAATGATGATTTGTACAAGAAATTCCACGCTTTCCGTTGCGTTCGGGACAAGTGTGAGTCCATGTGCACAGTGAACAAAGCAGCACATATGTTTCAGTGTCCAGTGGGAAAAAGTTTTGCCAGGTGAGAGTCGCGCAATGTCGATGACGAGGCCCCACCTCCCTCCCCCCGTACGGTGTCCTGGTTTTGACAAACGCAAATATGGTCACACTAACCTGTATTCCACTGAGTCATGTCTTTTAATCCAACAGAAATTGAACCGCATCAGTGACAGAAGAGCTGTAGTTTTATCTTCGCTTAGTTTCTGCAAATTAGCGATGCGGTTTTAAGTTTTGTTTCTGTGAGAGTTGAACAAAACTGAATTAAACACATTATAATGTCAAACGGGCTGATGTGGCTCTAGAGTCGTTATGTTTATATGTCGTAAAGTTGAATTTATTTATGCAGATTAGTAGTGCAGATAGTAATAATAATGATGATAATTTTAATATAAACACGTTAATGATTAATCGATAATCGATCGTTAATTCTTCCGACGATCGATTAAGAAAATTTCATCGAATGCCCGTCCCTAATTTGGAGTGAGATGGAGAGTTTGTTAAACTTGTTCTGTTCTGTTGTTTATGTTATAGTTTATCTGAAGAACTGTTTATATGTGACGTTAACAGTCTGTTGTTCTCTGTTTTATTGTTTTTACTAGAACTGGACTTTCAAGACGAAATGTTGGTTCCTGGTCTTTGATTTTATAAAATAAATTGCACATTTTTTGGCTGATGCGACTTATACCCTGCAGTGACTTATAGTCCGAAAAATACAGTGTTACTTTTGAGATCTGTAAAAGACTGAGAGTAATGGAGACAAGTGGATGTCGGACCCTCCACCAGAAAAGTTACAGAGTACAGCTTTAACAGATTTTTGAGAGTAACGGGACTCACCTGATGTCCTGCTCTGACTTGGTCCAAAACTTTGTTGTAACACACCTCCTCCATGTCATGAAGCTGCTGCACCTGCTCACACAAAACAATAAGAAACAAACAGCTAAAGGTTAAAAATATTGACAAAAAAGTATATATTGATTTTTATTTTAGAACCGTAAACACCAATAAACCGATCATGTTTTTTTTTTTATAAGAATTGTGTTAAAATGGGTTTCAATTTCCTGTCATGGGTGACATTTTGAGGACTTTCGGACATTAAAAACATAATATTTAGATTTTAATTGCTATGTGAATCACCCTGAAACCCAGAAATATCACTTTTGTTTGGGGCATTACCTTTGTCTTTATATTTCAATCAGATCTTTTTGCTGATTTTTTTTATTATTTTTCTCACATAATTTATTTATTTCAGTATATTATCATTATTTTAAATAGTTATAGTGTTACCTGGTAATTAAATGGTTTATGTGTAGATGAAATTTGTGTGAAAACGTGTTGAACCCTTTTGCTGACACACTAAATAATATGCGCTGTCCTAATTTCAATAAATAAATGAATATAAGAGAAAAAACATCATGGAGATAATACATGACAAGAGAAACTGTGCCACTTCTTAACAAACCCACAAACACAGAGATAAATCAAAAAGTGACCTTGTTGGTGCTTTTGATCCCCACAAAAGTCTGTCCGAGAGGCACGGGTCTGAAGCGTCCATCGAAGAAGAACAGTCCGATGTAAGGGTTCACGTGGAGGAAGGTGGCGACGTCCAGGTAATTAGGCAGAGTGGCAGAAAGGCCCAGGATACGGATCATACTCTGAGTCGACTCCACCTGCAGGACAACACAGAGAACTGCTTCATCAACAACAAATAAAGAGTGCGAAGGCAAATGACGTGGGACCAATACTTAGACTGCAAAGAACAAAAGGGCCCTGTCAAGCAGAAGTAAACAGCAAGGCCAAAAATTCAAGTTAATGCATCTGATATAAAAATGTATTCAACAGATGGTAAATGGTCACATTTTTCTATAGTGCTTTTCCACCTTCAAGGCATCAAAGCGCTTTACAACGAGGAACCACTCACCCATTCACACACACATTCACACACCAGTGTACACAGACACTAGGGGCAAGGTGGGTTAAGTGTCTTAACACAGCGACAGTAATTACATACACCAAAATGTAGGTTGTACCGTAATCCATTAAATTACTTAAGGTGAGTAACGTAATCTGAATACTTTGGATTACTTGATTTGCTGTAGAGAAGCAAAGACTAGGATATCTTAACATAAGATGTTTTGTCTGCTAAAAGAAAATAGAAAGTGCAGTCTTTCCATAGCCATATTAAAAATATTATTGATAAAGAAATGCTTTATCTATATGTGATCACTGCTGCCTTCAATTATGTCCACCCTACTGTTAGGTGTCATATTGTTTATTTAAAAAAAACAAAAAACATCACTTTCAGTACAAACATAAAGGCGCCAGCCCAGTAAAAATCTGTAATATTTTATGGCTTTTACTCAAAATGATGCAGAATCAGGTTATTAACAGTGCGGTGCATGGGAGGAGACACGGTCCACGCAGCACGCTTTAGTTAAATCCTGGTTTAGTTTCCAGCAATGAATGGAATTACCAAAATAAAAAAATAAAAAAAATTAAGAAATGGGATATAGCCCAAAATGTAAAAACAGGAAAATACCGCTGTGTAATCCATTTATTTCAACAAAGTAACTGCAATGTAATTACCACTCATTGAAACAGTAACTGTAACTGAATACAGTTACTCATAATTTGTACTCTGATTACGTAACTCCTGTACATGTAATCTGTTACTCCCAACACTGGTATCTAAACAGTATAACTAAAAGCTCAAAAAAGTAAATTCTGTGTTCATTAACCTAGATTATTGTGAATCGTTGTTTCAGTGTTACTCAGTCCAGTTTCAAACAGCACATCAGAGCAGTGCTGGTGTTATGTCGTCTTTATTTTGTCTTTGTAAACTTGAAGGCAAATCGATACGTTGTGCAACAGAAGACACAGAAACTCCAGAGCCGGTTTAGAGGAAGAGGGAGAGGAGGAGGAGGAGGAGGAGGAGGAGGGGTGTGTGAATGGATGAGTAGGGAAGGGGAGGATGAGGCGGAGGAGGGGAGGTCCTATCAGTGTACCTCCTGCTGAATTTGACAGTGAAGATTGGTAAGGCCCTTAATGTGATGCAGTACCTGTCAGCTCGCCACATCAAGATAAGACTCAGCCAATCCCGCTTCGCTGCTACGCTCCGCACTCGGCTGCAGGAGCAATGTGTTCTGTGGGGTTTTTCATCCGCCCGGGCAATACTTTGTACTTGTGTGCCGGAAAAAGGAATTACAATTACAAAAATACGGGAATAGAAGTAGTAATAAAAGTAGTAATGACGGTAATAGTATCAGTATGATGTTATTGTAGCTAATTATTAACAGTCAATAGTCAATATTCTATTAATAAAGTTGGCAAAAGTAGAAGTCACAGTAGGGTAAACATAAAGTAAAAGCAGAAGCAGCAGCAGTAGTAGTAGTAATTGTAGTAGTAGTAGTAGTAATGAGGGTAATAGTAGCAGCAGTATGTTACATTATTCTATTATCAATCAATAGTGAATATTCTGTTCAGTAAAGTTCGGAAAAGTAGTAGTAATTATCACAGTAGGAGAAGCATGAAGTAAAAGTAGCAGCAGCAGTAGTAGTAGTAGTATTAGTAGTAGTAGTAGATGTAGAAATAGTAGTAGTAGTGGTAGTACTGATAGTAATGAAAGTAATAGTAGTAGCAGCACATTATAATAGGCAATTATTATCAATCAACAGTCAATATTCTGTTAGTAAAGTCCGGAAAAATAGTAGTAATTGTCACAGTAGAGGTAGTGAACGCAGTAGTAGTAGTAGTAGTAGTAGTAGTAGTAGTAGTAGTAGTAGTAGTAGTAGTAGTAGTAGTAGTAGTAGTAGTAGTAGAAGTAGAAATAGTAGTAGTAGTAGTAGTAGTAGTAGTAGTAGTAGTAGTAGTAGTAGTAGTAGTAGTAGTAGTAGTAGTAGTAGTAGTAGTAGTAGTAGTAGTAGTAGTAATGACAGTAATAGTAGTAGCAGCACAGTTATAGTAGGTAATTATTATCAGTCAGTAGTCAATATTGCTGTTAGTAAAGTTCAGAAAAATAGTAGTACTTGTCACAGTAGGGAAAGTAAATGCAGCAATAGTAGCAGTAGTCATAGTAGTAGTAGTAGTAGTAGTAGTAGTAGTAATAGTAGTAATGACAGTAATAGAAGGAGCAGCATGTTATAATACGCTATTATCAGTTAATAGTCGATATTCTGTTAATAAAGTTGTCAAAAGTAGTAGTAATAGTCACAGCTGTAGCTTTGCTTCTCTACAGCAAACCAAGTAATCCAAAGTATTCAGATTACATTACTCACTTTAAGTAATTTGATGGATTACGTTACAAACTACATTTTGGGGTATGTAATCTGTAATCTGTAGGGGAATACATTTTAAAAGTCATCTTCCCAACACTGCATATAAGTGATAAGATATTTTGTCAGGTTCAACAATCACAAAAGCTATTCAAAAAGCAAAAACAAAACAAAACAAAAAAAGAGCACGCATGAGCCGTCTGTGTGGCATTATTAAATTTTATGACAACAAGACGTAACAGTGATTAATTAAAAGCTGAATTTCACCCCGAGGATAACGAGGTAACGAGCGAGAAGTGTAAAATTAATAGATCAGGTAATGGGAGGCAGAGGTGATGTGTTCTCTAAACCTGAGCCAGCCCGAGACAAAGAAGAGAGTCCGGGCTCAGTCTAATAAACCACACAGTAATACAGATGGTTTTCTAACATTTGCACTACAGAGATAAATAATGCAAAAACAGAAATTATGAACTGTCAGCATTAATGTCAAGGTCATAGAAAACATGTAGCCCACACTCTGAAAAAAGGATTTCATATACTGTGTAGCGACGGAACGATATATCGGTTGGCCAATATATTGGGTCGATTTTTGGACTTTAAAGGGCCCATCTCACGCAAAATAACTCTTTTCACATTGTATCTTCTGCACATAAACAAGCACAATTTGGGTTTTGGAACATCCATTACACAAAAGTTATGAAATCTTACTGATTTCTTGGAGACCGTCACAGACCAGGAACTATGAAAGTCCGACTATTGCTCATCCCCCCCGCCCGTCCTGAGAAACGCACAGGCTCCGCCCTCCAAACGTGACGTAGACTCTGAGTGAGCCGCCCTTCCTCCGCCATCTCAGGGAGGGAGGGGGAGACAGACGTGCGCCCTGATAGCGGTTAGGGATGAGACATGATTTTCGAATAGTCGAATATTCGTCATACGTTCGAATATTGAATAGTAATTTCGAATAAAGACGTTTCCTAACCAATATTTCATGTACAGCATTCGGCCAGAAGGTGGCGCTAACAGACTGTAAAACTCCCTGTAGGCGCGGTAGACTAGGCCATAGGGGCTGCTCCGGAATAACAGAAGAAGAAAACTTATCGTGCGGCATTAGCAATGCAGAAAGCAAGTAAAAGTTCCGTATGGTCATCATTTACTTTGTTAAATGACAAAGAGGTTTACTGTAAAATCTGTCAGGTGAAGCTAGCAAACCATAGATCAACCACTACCATGCAGAGCCATCTGAGAGCGAAACACGCCGAAACACGGGAACATGCGCAAACGAACTGACTCAGTACTGCTGGGACATATGCCCACCGCTCCACACTGACCCGATGACATGGTGGAAAAGAAACAAACAGAAATACCCCCGATTGGCAAAGTTAGCGAGCGCTTTCTTAGGTGTACCTGCGACGTCCGTGCCATCGGAGCGAGTCTCTGCAGCGGGCAGTTCAATGAAAGTAGTGCAGTGGGCTACAGTATGTGCTTGGTCATGCGTTTTTAAAATTGACATAGCCTTGAATATAATTTCATATTGTTTCATATGTGGGTTGCTTAATTAAGATGTTCATTTCTGATTTGGAAGGTTGTTGTTTGATTAAACCTTTTGCGCTTAAATACTCCATCTGTCATCTCATATATGCATGTGTGCGTGTGCGATTTTCGAATAATAATTGAACAGCTGTAATTGATTTTCGGATAGTGTTTTTGCCAAATATTCACATCCCTAATAGCGGTAGGAATAAACTTTTATTCATCATGGAGATACAGCGCGTTCAGACCAAGCCCCCAGGTTCCAAAATGGCCGCCCATTCAAGTCAATGGGCTGAGCTCAATGGCGCATGATCCAAGATTAGCCTAGCCCGGCTAGGTACTTCCGGTGGCTGTGGGCCGACCGAGCATGTGCAGTAGTGCTCTTTTCTCCCACGGGCACACGCGAATGCACGCGACCACACGCACGGAGCGCGGGCTCGTGTATCACGTGATCGCTTTGACCAATCAGAGCGAGAGGAACGAAAGCGGAGCAGAGCGGAGCTGGAGCTAACGAATATAAAGCGTTTTTTTAAGACAACTGAAGGATTTTGAGCGAGAAAAAGTTTATGATCTAAAAATAGGTAAAAATCGCCACAAAATCCGACATTTTTGAAAGTTGTAGGTGCCCTGTCAGCCGAACACGAGCAGTTTGTGATTACATTGCCTCTATGAGAAAAATCTTCTCTCGGCCCAGGGGATTTTTTCGACTGTAGTACCACTGAGTGGCCACTACGTCAACTCGAGGTAGCTACAAGCAGCAATACTGTATCCAGTTATTTTAATAGATCCATGGTTCAGCCGCATGTGTTGGACCCGGAATCGGACGAGGACTTTGAGGTGCACGAAGCTCAAGCACTGAACATTACTGA